GTTGAGGCTACAGTTAGCTGTAATTACACCACCGTACTCCAGCCTGGGTGATAGCAAGATCCTGTCTCTAAAATAAAATAAAATAAACAAAAACCAAAAACAGTTGTAGTGCTTCCATTACTTCTTTGGTTCATGTCTTCACTCAGGTTTTTTCCTGATAATTTCGTCCTATATGATCGCCTCTTAAATGCTTTTAAGATGAGAGCTTTGATCTATATGTATATATTATAGTGAGCATTATTTATTGTTTTTAGCAGAAATGGCGGTCCCAAAAATCTTAAGCCTAGTATTAATGAAATTGGAAAGACCAAAATATTATTTTTGATAATTTTTTATCTTATCACTTTCACCGAAATCTTAAAGTTACAGATTTAGCTCATTTGAAGTATAAAAAATGTCTACCATTTACCTAATTGGCAAACTGGTTTTAAACTTAAACTAAATGGCCATATCAGACTTGCTTTCTATCAGACAGTCTTGACTTCATTTTTTTGGACAAATAAATATGTTGATATGCATCTTCATGGCAACCTATCTCATTTTTGATTATGAGTCAGATGTAAATTGATTTAATTCCCTCATATGTTGTTTTACAAAGATGTAATTTTAATGTCCTGAACTTAATACCATTTATATTTTAGTGTCAGCACTGAATGTTCTATAAAAACCAGGACTAACTCTTTGGCAACTGAAGTCTGTTTGTGAAGACAGTGTTCCTAAATGAAAATAGAATTTAAAGTACAGACTATAGCAATAAGCACCCCCCTTTTGCCCATTCATTACACTCCCATTTCTGGAGATAGTTGAGCACGATTTTAATCAAATAAAATACAATCAATTCAAATAAAAGTATTAAAAGTTTTATAAAATCTCTTCACAGTTGTATTCCTAAACAATACTTTGAATATCAAATTTGTATTAATAATGCCATTTTCTTCACTGGAAGAAAACTCATAAATTATTAACTGAGACTAACTGGAATCATCTATGTATTCATCAATTTGTAAGGCAATTCTTCTCATAGTCTAATCACAGTTTTCTGTATTTCATGTATTCTGTGAAGTACAGTGGTTTCTGAAAAAAATATATTAATATAAAGGAAGTGATGGGTTTTTTAACAGTACATCAGATATCATAACCTTTTCTATAGTCTTACACAATTTTCTAACTTTTGCAATGAACAATACTAATTTAAATTACATGAAGTTTCAAAAGGCAACTTTGAAATCTGCGTAAAAATATTACACTCACATTTTTACTAATACCCTAATCTTTCTTCATTAAAAAAGTAATTATATTATCTTTGTAGTCTGGTACCAAAACATTGATTGTTATCAAATGATAGTACCAAAAAGTCTCTCACGATGTAACTTGATAAATTTTTTGGTACCATAATTTGATAATAATCTCAGGGGCAATGTAACTAAACAAAAATGATCACCACTTCACATTACAATATGTATAAATTCACAATATCTCAATACTTCTAATGACACATTTCACCACTTCCAAAAAGACAGGTAAGGCAGACAAAACCAGGAGGTCCTTGGGTGTCTTGATTAAAGAAAGCTTTGCCAACATCAGCATTTTGAATTGTCTGATGGTTTCACATCCCAGGCGCAAGGGCAAAGAATCACAGTGAGAATGGGAGTAGATAACAGATAAACTTTACTAAGAAGGGTGATTGTGACAGAACAGGATGCCATGGTAAAATGGCAGGATAACTACATTTTCTCAGGAAAAGGTAAATATGGAAGTCAATCATCTGAAGATTGATTTCCATAAAACTGTGTCCTTGTGTCCTTAGAAAATCTTTGTACACCTGCCAGAGTATGCTTTACTTCTTAGTTTGAAGATTTCTAACCTAGACTGCTATAATGGATTCCTAAAGGGTACTCTTACTTTTACCCTTGTGTCCCCCTACAGTGAATTTTCCACATGGCAATCAAACTGATCCTTTAAAAAATGTAAATCAGATCATGGCACTCTTCTGTTTACAACTTTCTCAGGCTGCCCATCACACTCACAGTAAAACCCAAATACTTTACCATGGCTTACTTGGCCATGAACTACAAACCAGCTCCTGATTAACCACGATCTCCATGCCGTGTTTTTATCTTTCACTTTCTACCTCACTCAGCCTGTTCTCACCACACCGGCATTTCGCCAAGGTCATTCTAAACGATGATTACTCGCAACAGCTGTTTCTCCTGCTTAGGATACTCATTCCCCCAGGTCATTACTGACCTATTGCCTTGCTTCATCCAGATCTCTTCTTAAATTTTATTCCTTAATCATATTATAAGAAATAGCATCATCATTAGCCCTACTCCACATTTTTCATGACCTCTTAGTTTCTATGTATTAAAAGCTACCTTATTTATTTTCCTGTCTCACTTCCCACCTTCAAGTTGAATGTAAGCTTCATGAAGGCAGGAACTTGGTCTTGCTGCTGTTCACTTAATGCCTTGAACACTGCTAAATCAATGAAATAAATATTCTTCCATGTTTGCAAGAACTTATATATAAGGATCTTCATTCCTGCCTTGACTGTGATAGCAAAAATAAGGGCTAACATAAAAATCATGCTGCGTACTTTCAATGGGATATGATGCAGTCATGAAAAAGAGTGAGGTAATTTCAATATGCCAAAACATAAAGGTCCCCAAGGTATACTTACTCCATTGAACCTAAGACGTCATTAGATGTAAGATGTATTTATTATGTCCCAAAAAAGGAAATAATGCCTAAGATGGCAGTTAAAGGCAACACCTGTATAAAACTGGATATAGGGAAAGACAAACAATCCCACAACACAGTAATGCATAGCAAACAAACAAACAAACAAACAAAAACTTGCATATCTCAACTCTGACACTGGTAGAAGAAAAAAAAAATTCCTGAGAATTTAAACCACAAGCCAGTTCATGTGGATTTGAAGTCTGACTCACACCGTTGGTGTGGTCCAAAACCCTCAAGTATAGAATTTAAGTAGTATCAGACTGGTAAGAAGCCCAAGGGACAGATAGAAGCAAACATTCTCTGTTGAAGAAGTGGATGTCAATCCAGGACTACAATGATTGTAAGATACTATCATAAGACACATCTCAATTTCAGTAATGTTAAAATGTAAAAAGATGAGTATCCTGTAATTAATAAAATATTAAGTGAAAAATAGAAGGTGCGGAATGCTCCCATATGCGAGGAGAAAGGGGGTCTGTATGTGTCTGTATGTGTGTACATAAGTGCACCCTTTAACATTTAGAAAATGTATGAAAAGATGTGCAGTGGTTCTAAGAAGGCAGATCTAATGTTTTGGGTGGAAAAAAAGTTTCAATTTTTTAATGCTATTTTTATTTTGTACCATGTGTGTTTATTAATTTTCCCTTAAGAAAACTTTAAAAAGCCAGAAAGTATAAAATATATCCTTCAATGTTTTCCTACCTACACTGTAACTTCCCTTTATAGAACACCTCATCTCCAAACTGCGATATTTAAAAGTAAAATAATTAAAAAGTAAGTGATTTCTTTGCTTGAACCTGGGAGGCAGAGGTTGCAGTAAGCCGAGATTGTGCCACTGCACTCCAGCCTGGGCAACAGAGCGAGCCTCTGTCTCAAAAAAAAAAAAAAAAAAAAAAAGTAAGTGATTTCTTCTCTGGGTTTGGTTGCAAATTTCATAGGAAGAATCTCACCATTCTTTCGGAGAAACAATACCATCGACATAATAGCCCACCCATGTATATCATGAAGCACCAAGGTAATTTAAAACAATGAGTTTTCAGATTTAAAATGATCCCTCTAAGATTTCACAGTCTAAAGCACAAAATGAATGTCCACACAAATCCATGAATGATTATAGAGACACAGAGGCCCTCCAGAATGCTTCCCCCATAAGAATGCTTCCAGAGCCTTCATAAATTTTGTTCAGTTATATCCACAGTTCCTAAAAGAATATCAGGTTGGTCATGGGTCCAAGCGACTGACAGAAGCAAACAAAGAAGGCATTCAATGGTATTTCTTGAAGAAATGTTTGACTGTATAAATACCTAATACACTTTATATAATCTCCTTTAAAGAGCCCAAGTGTTTTTAAGGGTGGTAGATTAAATGGGGTTTCACATATTCATTCAACAAATATTGATTGAATTTCTACTATGTGCCAGGCACTGTGCTAAACATTATAGATGTAAAAATATGACACGCTCCTGACCATGAAAAGCTCACTATTATAAATAATTACAATAAATGATAGAAGGGTTATAACTGAGGTATGCACGAATGCATGTGCTATGAAAACAGAGTAAAAGCCGGGCACAGTGGCTCACGCCTGTAATCCCAGCACTCTGGGAAGTTGAGGCTGGCGGATCACTTGAGGTCAAGAGTTCGAGACCAGCCTGGCCAACAAGGTGAAACCCTGTCTCTACCAAAACATACAAAAATTAGCTGGGCATAGTGGCGTGTGCCTGTAATCCCAGCTAATCAAGAGGCTGAGGTGGGAGAATTGCTTGAACCTGGAAGGTGGAGGTTGCAGTAAGCCAAGACCATGCCACTGCACTCCAGCCTGGGTGACGGCATCTCACTCTTAAAAAAACACCAAGTACGTGTTACCATGCAACCCATTTAAAGTCGTATTACCTTAGATTTCACTTTAAAGCCATAGCACATTTTATAATTAAAATTTTATATATGTATCTGGAGTGAAGAAAAAGGGGTTCCTAATCCAACATTTTCTAGAGCAGAATTAACAAAAAGCTGCAAGTCTACACACAAGTAAAAATTAAAAGCTATTTTTTAAAGTATTTGTGAAATTAGAACTCTCTTATGTCAAATTTGACATATGTCCTATTGTTATAAAGGATGATTCCATGATTTAAACTACATTAATGTCTAAAAAGTAAGCTTAGTAAACTCTACAAACTAAAACTATAATTCTGTAAATATTCTGTTCACACACTGTAAGTGATTACACAACTATCTATTTTGAAAAAAATTCTACATACCTTTTTTGCTTTAGGACCCTAAAAGTTGGAAAACAAAAGAATTGATCAATTTTAAAGAGAATTCTGATACAAAAGTATCATGATTATGTAAGATGTTAAAATTAGAAGAAACTTGGTAAAGGGCATAAGGGAACTCTCTGTACCATCTTTGTAAGTTTCCTTGCAAATCTAAAATTATCCCAAAATAAAATGCTTTTTTAAAAATAGTTCAGACAAAACTACAAATAAGTATAGGAAAGCTAAGTTCACCTACTGAAGCATTTTTTTTGTATGTAGATTTTACACTATTTCTTAGGTCAATCAATGATCTATGTTTAATGAAATGCCCTGTTACTAAACAGAGTACTAGTCAAGAAGGCACTAGTTTAAAGGGTTCAAAGGACAATAAATTATTGACCAATTATGTGCACTAATGTCAAATTTGCAAGTGTGGGAATGATCTCATAAAGAAATAACCTTTTTCTGTAAAGTTAGATTGATGATTTTTATAGAAAGGGAATCAGTTATTTAAAGCACACAAAGCAGCCTTGTACAGTGGCTCACTCCTGTAATTTCAGCACTCAGGGAGGCCAAGGCGGGAGGATCACTTGAGCCCAAGAATTCAAGACCAGCCCAGGCAAAACAAGAAGACCCTGTCTCTACAAAAAATTTTAAAAAATTAGCCAAGCATGGAGGCACATGCCTATGGTCCCAGCTACTTGGGAGGCTGAGGTGGGAAGATCACTTGAGCCCAGGAGGTCAAGGCTGCAGTGAGCCATGACATTCAGCCTGGGCAGCAGAGCAAGACCCCGTTTCCAAAAAATGAATAAATAAATACAGCAGGCGGCTGGGTGTGGTGGCTCACACCTGTAATCCCAGCACTTTGGCAGGCTGAGGAAGGTGGATCACGGGATCAGGAGATGGAGGCCATCCTGGCTAACACGGTGAAACCCCGTCTCTACTAAAAATACAAAAAATTGGCCCGGCGTGGTGGCATGCGCCTGTAGTCCCAGCTACTCAGGAGGCTGAGGCAGGAGAGTCACTTGAACCTGGGAAGCGGGGGTTGCAGTGAGCCAAGATCACACCACTGCACTCCAGCCTGGGTGACAGAACAAGACTCAGAAATAAATAAATAAATAAATAAATAAACAAACAAACAAACAAATAAATAAAGCAGGCAAAGCTATGATAAAATGAAGATTCTATTCAGCAACGTGTTTTAAGGCAAATCTATTCTTTTCTGGAAATTATTTTGGAAAGCACAGCATTTCAAAAAAGATTCATAGTTACAATAATACCACTTATACTTTCCTGATTAGGCTCACGTGTTTATCAGATTTCTGGTAAGGAATATGTAGGAGATCATGTGAATACAAGACACTTTACATATTTGAAGAGTTATAGGTGGGAAATATTGGTTCATCCCACAAGATTATACCATGTAAAACTGAAGTTTAACACAGATCAGTAGATTCCATCTTCTTGAAGAGTGCATATATTACAGTAATTCACTCAGCAGATATTAATTAATGATTTACACACAAGGCACTCTGAGGCACTGGAGATAGAATAGTAGAGACTTTGCTGCCATATAATTTTTACAAATAGATTCTATTTTTATCATAGTTTCTATCAATTAAGAGTTAACATACTTCCATCGTGAAATAAGTACTAAACAGCTGAATATGTAAATAGCATTGCTCCGGTTCTCAAGTAGCCATATTTTAAAGAGGGGCAAATTGTCACTTCTCACTTGTGCTTTTAATATAAATCAGGTTTGGGGTAAGTACATATCCTCACTCCTCCTATATGTCATAAGAGCTACTCACTATGTAGTGAAGTAGTTCTCAAAGTTCAGAGGGCATAAGAATCATACGGGAAGCTTGTTAGAAATGCATATTTATGGACTAAACGTGTATACACTCACTCCTCTTCCTACATTGTGGTTCAGTAGATGTTATGGATTGAATTGTATCCCTCAAAAAATTACATGTTGTCCGGGTGCGGTGGCTCACGGCTGTAATCCCAGTACTTTAGAAGGCAGAGGCGGGTGGATCACCTGAGGTCAAGACCAGCCTGGCCAACATGGTGAAACCCTGTCTCTACTAAAAATACAAAAATTAGCTGGGTGTGGTGGCATGAGCCTGTAATCCCAGCTACTCAGGAGGCTGAGGCAGGAGAATTGCTTGAACCCGGTAGGCAGAGGTTTCAGTGAGCTGAGATCTCGCCATTGCACTCCGGCCTGGGCAACAGAGCAAAATTCTGCCTCAAAAAAAAAAAAAAAAAAAAAAATCCTGTTTTGGCTGGGTGCACTGGCTTAGTCCTGTAATCCCAGCATTTTGGGAGGTCAAAGTGGGAGAGAATCACTTGAGCCCAGGAGTTTGAGGGCAGCCTGGGCAACAAAGCGAGACCCTATCTCTGAAAAAAAATTAAAAATTAGCTGGGTGTGGTGGCGCGTGCCTTGTACTCCCAGCTCTTCAGGAGGCTGAGTTGAGAAGATTGCTTGAACCAGGGAGGCTGAGGCTTCGGTAAGCCATGATGGTGCCACTGCACTCCAGCCTGGGTGACAAAGCGAGACAGTCTCAAAGAAAAAAAAAAAAAAAATTCATATGTTGAAACCTGATCCCCAGTACTTCAGAATTTCACCTAACTGGGAGATAAGGTCATTACTGATTTTATTAGTTAAATTAAGATGAAGCCATACTGAATAGCGTGGGCCCCTAATCCAATATGATTTGTGTCCTTATATAATGATAATAATAATAAAGGAAACTTGGATATATATACTCAGATGGAGAATGCTATGTAAAGAATGAAGTTTTGTTGCCACAAACCAAGGAACTACCAGAAGCCAGGAAAGGTCTGAACAGATCTCTCCCTAAGGCCCTCAGAGGTATCACAGACCTACTGACACTTTGATCTTGGTCTTCCAGTCTCCAGAACTGCGAGACAATAAAATGCTTTTCTTTAAGCACTTAGTTTGTGGCAATTCCTTACTTGGCAGCCTTAGGAAACTAATACAGTAGATTTGGAGTTGAGTGGGTTCCTGGAATCTGTATTTTTAACAAGTACTCTGGGTGCATTAGAAGTAAATGTTCCAGGGGCCACACTTCGAGAAACACTGGGAGAAGGATCTAAGAAGAAGAAGAAACTTAGGTAACAAATTGGAAGGTAACAAGTCAGTGCTTACAGGGGCCACACTTTGAGAAACACTGGGAGAAGAATCTAAGACGAAGAAGAAACTTAGGTAACAAATTGGAAGGCAACAAGTAAGTGCTTACTGTTCTCCCAATTTATTAGCAATTGTAAATTGACTTAGGTTCCATTTGCATTCTGCCAGGAATGCTCTCCACTCCCCATTTCTTTTTTTTTTTTTTTTTTTTGAGTCACGCTGTGTAGCCCACGCTGGAGTGCAGTGGCACAATCTCGGCTTACTGCAACCTCCGCCTCCTGGGTTCAAGCGATTCTCCTGCTTCAGCCTCCTGAGTAGCTGGAATTACAGGCGCGTGCCACCACGCCAGGCTAATTTTTGTATTTTTAGTAGAGACGGGGTTTCACCATGTTGTCCAGGCTGGTCTCGAACTCCTGACATTGTGATCCGCCTGCCTCAGCCTCCCAAAGTGCTGGGATTACCGCGCCAGGCCTCCATTCCTATTTCTTCCCACCATTTGTGGAAAACTCGTATTTATACTTTAAAACAGGTTGAAAAGCACCACTCTTTCCTTACGTTGTTTCCCCTCACTGATTTCATCATTTCCAACTTTGTGTTACCCCATTTTAGATACTTCAATTGTTACAGTTGTAAAACTGTATTGTAATTAATTTGTTTAATCTGTATCCCATAAGCAGAGCTGTCATCATGTTCTTCTTGGAATTCTTGACTTCTAGCCTAGTGCCAAGTATAAAGAATGCACTCCATATTTTCCCTTAATTAATGAATTAAATAATTAAGTAATGACATTCTCCACTTCCTCTGGTTTTAATTAGAGAAAATGTCTTGATGGAAACCACATTTAAGAAAACCAGACAGAGATACTCTCATAGCTACATGTTGGCCTGTCTCCTTGGTGAAAACATGGCAGTTGAGGAGTGCAGAAAAACAAAATGAGAAGCTTTATCATATTTAACGCAGGATGAGTACCTTGAATCACAAAACAATTCATAGTCCCACAAAAGACGACATAAAATATCTTTCCAAAGCAGAGTAAACTGCATTAGCTTTTAATTAACTGCTGGAGAGGTACTAAAACATTTCCGCCAAGTTGCTATAAGAGAATTTAGTGGGAACGTCTATCATTACTGGAAGTTACTAAGTTGGGACCAATTTTCAAGCTCAGCAACATTCGAGATCAGGATACCGTGTGACAGCTTTGACCATCTCCCGTTTGCAGAAACCGGTTTGGGACTCCTACCCGTCCGCCCGATCCAGGTAAGGAAAGAGGGCCGACCCACCCTGAGGTATGAGTTATTTCCCAAACCGACCCGCTTCTCTGTAAAATATGACCGGCTCTTATTACATCATTTAACACTGGTGAGGCAGAATCAATGGTCGCCCCTCCACCTGTCTGCCTCATTTGCCTTGCTCACCATTAGGAGTCAAGTTCCACCGCCGTAGTCAGCAGAGTCGAAGCTGAAATTATGTGAACAAACGCTCCCGGGTTGTCCGGACGACAGGTCCCGCCCACTTGCGCTCCAGGAAAAGACCGCAGCCGCAGCAGGCTCTTCCGGCCGGCGCCCCGCCCCCTTTACTGACAGGTTGCCCTCCTCCCCAAACCCCACCGCGCTTCGCAGTAGACCGACAGAGGAGTCGAAGCGGTCGAAGGTTTTGCGGCTCCGGCGTGCCGGAAAGTGCGTGAGTGCCGGCGCCGGGGAGTTTTGTTCCGTTTCCCGGATCCTGGGGTCTGCAGGCGAAATACGCTCTGGGCGAGGACCACCGGCTGTGGGAAGAGGGTTCTGAGCGTCTCCTGACCTTGACGGTTTATTTCCTAGAGTGTGTTGGGGCTCAGTCTTTCTGGGAGGGTTTCGAGAAGGGAACCGGCATGGGCCTGGTTCAGGCAGCGGACACCCGGTGGGCGGCCCGGGCCACTGCGATTTAAGCCAGCAGGGGGATGGGGCTCATTCGGCAATTTAAAGAGGGAATTAAGTTGACTCCAGAGGGTTGTTTATTTTAAGATTATTGACCTTCGGATTCTTCTCTCTGCTCTATTGTTTACTTTCTGTGCAGCGTACGTGTCCTTTCTCCTAAGAGCGCCCTAAACAAGAATAGAAAATGAAGCAATTCCTGGGTAAAATATTCCTTAACATGAAGATCGGTGAGGCCCCAAATACTCATTAGTTTCCCAAGGTCACAGACTAATTGTACTAATGAGTAGCACAACCTTCAGAATTTCAGTCTCCTCCCACACGAAGAAACGCTGGCACCTTACACCGCCAGGAAAACTACAATTAAGTGAGGCTGTTCTCCTCAAGCCCAACTGAGTTCTCTGTAATTGTAGGGCACCCTGTTTTAGCATTATGAGACCTGAAAATACTTTTAAATTACTGGCACCATTTCTCATCTCTGAATTCTAAGTTTATAATGCTCGATCCCTTCCAGTGTTATTGGCTACATGCATTATTCATAGATAAGTAGTAGGACTAAGCTAGTCTTTATGGGTTAAAGTGTTATTATCCCCATTGTAACCTGTAACTATTACAGGTTGTGTAATAGTTATTAGCATTTTACATCCGTATCCTGGTAGCAAGATAAAAACATTTTAATAGCGACTTCGTACAGAGTTCTTACTCAGTTTGCCGTGGCTGTTTGGTATGGAAGTTAAGGTTTCCTTTTAAATTAGTTTCAGGAGAACTAATGTTTAATGATAAAACACCTCAGTCAACTCAAATTAGGATTCTTGGAGGTAAGGAGACAGTACAGTAATCCCAAGTTACCTTAAAATAGTGGGCTTTTAGAGGAAAGGCTTTACTGAAGCTCTCACCGTATCTACCCCGTGGGGAAGAATGGTTAACAACTTTGGGCACCACATAACCCCCAGTAAAATGACAATTCTCCACTAGCCTAGAACTGAAACTGGTACAGTCTTAACTCCTCAGCCTAGAATGGCAGCGGGGAAAAACTATCAATGGGGACTGCAACCGCTGTCTTATCCAGCGCACACATCCAAGTTTTCAGAATAATAGGGGTCTTCTCTTAGTCCTTAACTCTTGGCTCTTTACTTAAAACAGTAACCTCCATGACTTCGTGCAGAGTTCAGGAGCAGCCTCAGACCCTGCTGAACTCAAATTGTTTATTCACTACATTGTGAACCCAAGGAGACCTGTTTCTCTTAATGGCTAAAATAAACCTAAATGCTTCAAGGTCAACTGCATAAAGATAAACTGCATTACCTGGCATGGTGGCTCACACCTGTAATCCCAGCACTTTGGGAGGCCAAGGCGGGCAGATCACGAGGTCAGGAGATCGAGACCATCCTGGATAACACGGTGAAACCCTGTCTCTACTAAAATAATACGAAAAATTAACCGGGCGTGGTGGCGGGCACCTGTAATCCCAGCTACTCTGGAGGCTGAGATGAGAATCGCTTGAACCCAGGACAGGGAGGTTGCAGTGAGCCAAGATCACACCACTACACTCCAACCTGGGCAACAGAGCAAGATTCCGTCTCAAAAAAAAAAAAAAAAAAAGATAAACTGCATTAATTCATGTAAGTTAACATATCAAAGAAGAACAAATTTACCTTAGCCACACTAGTTACATTTTGCTAGGCAAGTCTTTTATAATACATAATTTGTAAAAAGACCAACAACTAAAAAGGACAACTTAAGCCAGGTCCCTAAAAGCTTTCACAAGTTACAAATTGTGAATTAAATGAAGGTGTGCTGTTAGGCATTAAACAGGTTATAGTTTGCAATTTGAAATTACTTCTATGTAGATTTAATTTTAAATTATGTGAAAAGAACATGGCTCCCAAGAGGTGTTTTTTGTTTGCTTGTTTTGTTTTGTTTTGAGACAGGGTCTCAAAATGAATTTTGCCCGGGTTGGAGTGGTGGAATAATCATGGCTCACTACAGCCTCAACCTCCTGGGCTCAAGCGATCCTCCCACCTCAGCCTCCCAAATAGCTGAGACTACAGGCACACGCCACCATGCCTGGCTAATATTTTTTTACTTTCAGTAGAGACAAGGTCTCACTATGTTGCCCAGGCTGGTCTCAAACTCCTGACCTCAAGCCATCCTCCGGCCCTGGGCTACCAAAGTGCTGAGATTACAGGTACAAGCGACCATGCCCAGCCTAAGAATCATTCTTAGTAAGATTATTTCACACTGCTAATGGCTGTCTGCCAAAGAAAAAGAAGTTTAAAAAATGAAGTAGTTAATATAGTGGGTTAAATACCCTCATCTAATTTTACTCCCTTCCAAAATGACTAAATCTATAGTAAAATGATATAAAAATAAATTGGAAAAATTGGGACAGGAGATAACAGCAATAAAACTTCAGAAGCTGGAAAACAGGTGAATGAATGTGACTTAGCACACCAGAAAAACCCAATTTACTCTGCAGAATTCTCAAAAGGCACTGAAACAGGGGCCCTGAAATTGGAAGTGGACTACATGAAAGCTATTTGAGAAACACCTCTAAGTAACTCTACCCCTTTACTCCCATAAAAGACTAGAGGTTTCTGGACAAAGTAATACTAGTCCCTGGACTGGGGCACCCTCAGGCATTCTAGAGAAGCACACTGGAAACAAAATTAAGTGAATTTAGGTATAATAATGCTGGATACAGGGCCTGCATTCCTCTTTCACTTTTTAATGTTTAATAGGCAAATGCTTAGAAGACTGGAAGACTCAACTCTGAGGAACGCCCAGCCCAGGAGGAGCAATCCAAGATACTGACATCAGACGTTCCTCAGTAAAGGCCCGCTCAGAGCACCCTAAGTGAAGCCCAGAGTCTGTATGCTTCACCCATATATACAGATGTAAAAAGCTTTTGTGTCTTTTCACTCATAAGAGTAGACAGAAAAGAATGACCAGACTTTGGAAGAAAGCTCAGAAGTGATAGAGACGAAAGCAAGCAGAAAAGCTATTTGAAGTAAAACAACAGAAAATTTCAAGAAAGCAAGAATCAGTGCACTTGGAAAGAAAAAAATGCCTACATAGTATGCTTGTTATGTGAATTAGCTCATTAACTAGTAGTAAGTACAATTTTACAAGTATTAATGTAGAAGTAATGTTGTTGGTTCCTGTGTGATTTTTTTTTTCCCTACGAAAGAGGAGCCAGAAAAGCAGTACATGTATGACCTTCAGCAAGAAAAGGTCATGGCTTCACTGCTATGCTGGTGGCAAGTGCCTTTCAGATTTTTTCACTGATTCAAGTGTATATTCCCAGGGTTCCCTCCCCAGCGAGGCATACCCCAGATTCTGTGCAGCCATTGACTGGGGGCAGGTAGAGTCACCTCTCCTACCCACGAATTGGCAGCCTTGTGGTTTAGATCGATTTCTACTTCCATGTGTTACCTCAGCATCTCTTAGCTCTGTTCTTAGACTTTGGCTGGCATTTCTATTATTTTTTTAAGTTTTGCTGAAATAGAATTGACACTGAATTACACTTATAAAGCATAATTCGATAAATTTGGTTCATATATACACATCTATATATGCATATTTATAGATATATATGTGCTATATAGTATATATACTACCTATAGTATACATATATAGTATACATATAATTTTTGTTTCCATGGAAACAAAAATAAAAGGAATTACTATGTACTATATACTATATATACTATCTACTACATAGTAGATATATATATACCATAGTATACTATATACTGAAAATGGCTACCTCTATTTGTAAATATATATTTTAATATATTTTTGCAAAGAATAGAAATGCCAGCAAAAGTCTAAGAACAGGGCTAAGTGGTGGGAAAACTACACTATATACTATATAGTATCTATTCTAACTATATAGATATGTATATATACATATATATGCATATGTATACACACACACACACAATGAAGCCATCACCGCAATCAAGGCAATAAATATATCCGTTATCCACAAAGGTTGCCTCGTGCATCTTTGATTCCTTCCTGGTCTCCAGCCCGTACTCCCATTCCCAGGCTACTCTATTATTAACTTTTTAGTATTTTTAACATCTCTGTAGTAGTCTCCAGCTATGCTGAGAGCAATCTGAATGGTCAAAATTAACTGTCCAGGAAGAGCAGAAGTGAAAAACTCAATAGAACACTTGAAAGATGAAAATGAGAAAATCCCCCATAAAACTGAATAAAAGGCCGGGCACAGAGGCTCACACCTGTAATCCCACCCAGCACTTTGGGAAGCCAAGGAGGGTGGATCACCTGAGGTCAGGAGTTCGAGACTAGCCTGGCCAACATGGTGAAAACCAATCTCTACTAAAAATACATAAATTAGCCATGCTTAGTGGCAGATGCCTGTAATCCTAGCTACTCGGGAGGCTGAGGCAGGAGAATCGCTTGAACCCAGGAGGCGGAGGTTCCAGTGAGCCGAGATGAGGCCATTGCACTCCAGCCTGGGTGACGAGCAAAACTCCATGCTTAAAAAAAAGACAAATGGAAAATAGTAGAGAAAAAAGGAAGAGAACGTGTCTAGAAGTTCAAACATCCAAATAATAAAAGTTCCAAGAAGGGAGAAAAAAGAAAATGGAGGAGGGGGGAAATCATGAATGAAATCATTTAAAATTTTTTCCCAAATTGAAGGAAACAAGCGTCCAGATTGCAAGGGCCAACTGAGTGTCCAGCATAATGGATGAAAATAAATCCATTATCAACACATGACTAACATTTCAAAATCTTCATGGAGAGGATTCTGTAAGTTTCTGGGGAGAGAGAAAAGATAACATCCATCCAGAGGATCACTTACCAGGACTGCTTTGAACTTCTTAATAGCAATGGTAAGGCCGGGCGCGGTGGCTCAAGCCTGTAATCCCAGCACTTTGGGAGGCCGAGATGGGTGGATCACGAGGTCAGGAGATCGAGACCATCCTGGCTGACACGGTGAAACCCTGTCTCTACTAAAAAATACAAAAAACTAGCCGGGCGAGGTGGCAGGAGCCTGTAGTCCCAGCTACTCGGGAGGCTGAGGCAGGAGAATGGCATGAACCCGGGAGGCGGAGCTTGCAGTGAGCTGAGATCCGGCCACTGCACTCCAGCCTGGGTGGCAGAGCGAGACTCCATCTCAAAAAAAAAAAAAAAAAAAAAAAGCAATGGTAAAAGCAAACAGATGAGCGACTGCTTCAAAATGTTGAAAGAAAATTATTTCCAGCTTTCAATTCTATACTCAAGCTATCAAACAAGTAGAGGGAGCCAGCCATTTTTAGACATCCAGGGTCTCATTTACCTTCCATGTACCCTTTTCAAGAAGTTAGGATGTGCTCCGCACAAACAAAAATAAAACCAGTAAAAAGAACACTTTGAAATGTAGAAAATGGGATAATCAACATAGAGGATAGGCAAAAGGAATTTCTGGGAGCATGGTCAAGTGAGATTCCAGTACTACAGTTGTGCTTCTTGATGTAGAGAGCAGTCAGTCCAGAATCAAGCAGTATGACTCACATTGGTGGTTGTTACCACCAAGATCCGTGCTGCCATTGTACCATCTTTTTAACCTGAGGACATTATGCCTAGGCAAGCCTGGCTCAGATTCTTACCGCCATTTGCCTTGACCATGTGGTGATGAAATTCCTGCTGTCTTCTGTGCTATGCTGACTGGACCAACTGAGGACACTCACTTTTACCCTTCTTTTTCAACCTATTCCTGAAAGCTGATGTTGGGCGTTGGTGAGCTTAAAGCAGGAAATAGTCTTCCTTCTTCCCATTTTTGCTATGTATTGGTTGGAAATCAAGTATCAGTTCTACACTCTGATCTTCCCACATGCTTCAGTTGTGAGGAGCCCAGTATTCACTCATGACATTGCAAATTAACATCTCCAGAAGGGATTCATAAAGCCTGGAGAAGGTAAAGCCAGACTAGGACTGTTTGCTTTTAATTAACAGCAGTATTGTTGCCCCTTTCCTTGCTAGATTCGTGCTTGCTGCTCAAATTGCTGGAATTAAATATTTAGGGCAATGTTCATGAGTGGTGGGAAAACTAAAGAGAATAAGCAGGAAGTCACTAGAGGCTATCTTGGTAGAGATGGGGAAAGAGAAGCAATTGGAGAGGGGCACAGGGGGCTTCTAAGACTTCTAATTTTCTGTTTCGTAACTTGAACGATGGGTACCCAGATGTATATTTGTACATTCATATTTTATGCAGTTTCTATGTCTAATACATATAAAAATTTAAGATGAAATACATGAAGGCACTGGTACCCTGACTTTAAAATTGTAAAAGGTGTAAATTTTGCAAAACGCCTAAAGGGGCAGGTGAAGTCACAATGAGAATCTACACTATTGTACTACGGGGTCCAACCAGAACAGGAGAGTAACAGGAGAACTTAAATTATGTAGCACAATGATTTTTAATTGAGTATGGTACTGCAATTTTAATCCATAATGATTTTTAACTGAGTATGGTACTGTCATTTTAATCCACACTTTCTGCTAGTTAACTATAAAATAACCCTTAAAACTGATCTAAAAGGCTATTTTTAAAATATAAGTTGCGGCCGGGCGCAGTGGCTCATGCCTGTAATCCCAGCACTTTGGGAGGCCAAGGTGGGTAGATCACGAGGTGAGGAGATCGAGACCATCCTGGCCAACATGGTGAAACACCATCTCTACTAAAATACAAAAAAAAAAAAAAAAAATTAGCCAGGCGTGGTGGCACACAGCTGTAGTCCCAGCTACTTGGGAGGCTGAGGCAGGGGAATTGTTTGAACCAGGGAGGTGGAGGTTGCGGTGAGTTGAGATGGTACCACTGCACTCCAGCCTGGTGACAGAGCGAGAATTCGTCTCAAAAAAAAAAAAAAAAAGTTGTTTCCTGCTTGCCCTTCAGAGTAATTCAGCCCAAAAGTCATTTTGTGGCACTGAGCAAGGTAGGCATCTGGGGAAGGGGGGTGGGGGCGAGAGAAAGACTGGCAAGGTAGTAGCCCAGAGAGGGGGTACTGGAGCCCAAATGCAATGAGGAGGGCCTTTGGGGGTAGGGACTTGTGCACAGCAGCAGCCTAGCAGGGGATGAGGAGGGCATCTTGTTAGGGTGAAGGAAATGGTGGCACAGGTTTTTGGAATGGGAACAAAAGGTGAGCCTTATCCAGGAGGGAGGAAGTGGTGCAGTGTAAATTGCTTGAGCCCAAGAAGGGTAGGTTGGAAAAAAGGGGGATGAAGAGAAGACCATGCATGTGGGATGGTGGCAGTGGCACTCTGGCATTGGGTGGCAGAGCTCAGAGAGTAGTGTGTGTGCACTGAATGGTGAGAGCAAGAGGAATTTGATTACATAGTGAGAGGAGGGGTGATGATTATAAAAAGTAAATTTATTAAGGACAAGTGGGAACCAGACTTCTCATTGTTAGGCAAGAGTATTAAACCCATGTAAAGAGGGGAAATGAAAATAAACCCTGTAGTATTGGAATTGAATGTTAGGTAGCAGATTATATGGAGATTAATATAAAAGTCACACACACACACAACACCTAAATCTGCATGTATGTACACTTGCAGCTTTGTCACTTAGAGGACCTGGGAACAGTGACAGTCCCATGGTGATTAGCATTTCTAGCACCCAGACCTTGGTTTCTAAAACATTCCATCCAGATTATAGTTTCTAAATGCTATTCTCCATTAAAAGGACTAGGTTCCTCAGAGAAATAATTTTATAATGGACAGTCTTAGCAAATACGACTCTAATTGGGTAATCAAAATTAACATCAATCACAATGGAACAAATTTCAGTTGCATCCACCTGATGGGATGCAATGTTAAGAGCTTACTATTCAACTGTAACAGGTAGTGGGAATTATTTTCTAGGTTTAGGCTGTCAGGATGCCTTTAAGGAGCCTCCTCTACTCAGTAGCATTAACATATTACACATAAAGAAGCATGATTTATCCCATTGGATGTCACCTGTTCCTCAGGGACACCCTCTTACAGCTTGTTCATTTGGCCTCTTCACCACCAATCTTACTGCCCATCTATTCCAACCTGTTTAACTCACCCAGTTTCTGCTAGTTTTTAGCCTCCCTTTGGATAAGCAGCCATCAAGATTTGATCAGGCTTCTGCTCAATGTCCTTCAAGTGGATCTGGCCTTGCCTTGAGAGCAGGGTAAAGATAATGTCTCGTTTGATAAAGAAAACTCAGGCTCAGCATGGTTAATTAATCTGTACGTTATGCAACTAGGATTTAAATCTAGCTCGTTCCACTGTGGCATAAAAGGAGGTACACGTACCTATCTGTAACAATCCACTTTCTCATCTTATTTCCTTCATCTGACCTTTCATAATCATCGTCATCTTTGCTTAGTGTCTCATAGGAAAAAGTCAATTCTGTGACAGCAGGTTATTTTATCTGAAGTGTTTATAACAATATCCCAGTACGTGGAACAAAAAAGTTCTCAAGAAATATTTACTGTATTTTTCAGAAGTTATTTTCTCAGTGTATATAACCTTTTTTGATTTTTTTAAGACTACAATGCAGCTAACTGCAAAAAATTTTCCTTTCTTTAGGCATGTTACGCATAAAAGTGGAGAATTTACATGGTAAATGAAAATGGCCAATTCTTTAAGAGGAGAAGTACTAAAACTTTATAAAAATGTAAGTAATTATGTTGCCAATTTTATTAAAATGTTATTATATGACATGGATTGTTTAGAAATACATAATCTTTCTTTTTGAAGCTGCTGTATCTTGGACGAGACTATCCAAAAGGAGCAGACTATTTTAAAAAGCGTTTGAAGAACATTTTCCTTAAAAACAAAGATGTGAAGAATCCAGAGAAGATCAAAGAACTTATTGCACAGGGCGAATTTGTAATGAAAGAGCTAGAAGCCTTGTACTTCCTTAGGAAATACAGAGCTATGAAACAACGCTATTATTCAGATACCAACAAAACTAATTGATCATTACTACTTTAATTTAGCTGACAAACAGCCATTGATCATTACTACTTTAATTTAGCTGACAATCAGTGCCAGCTGTTTATGTGTACCAGATAATGTGAATTAATTCTAACTTAAAATGGGAAGATATACATATTGTGTAAAAAATCCCTGAGCTGCCCTACTGAACTAAGTAGGTTTCAACTTCTGTTCATGCTGAGAAATTATCAGCAACTTAATGCTCAATTTTGATACAAACATAGCAATTTAGCTATACTACCGATTATAAATTAATGAACACCCAATTTTGAATGAAAATACAATACACTTAATCCTGTAACTTAATAGGATTTAGCCAATTATTTTTAGCTTATTTCTCCATTTTACTGACAAGAGAATGCCATTTACTGAATATTTAATCAGCAAAATAATTTCTTATTTCTCTTAACTTTTGAAAGGAATCCCTTTTTTTTTTCACCCAATTTGATACATTAACAGCACATACTCAAGGTTCACTCCACAACCAAGTTTCTGACAATGATTTAAATGTAGTTATAGAAATAATATGTGTGGAGTTATTCTGACTTTGAAATAGCCTGCTGGTGACTGGCATTACATACATTAACTATTCAATTATTTCCATTATTAATGTTGCTGCTGCTACCTTTGGGCCTAAAACCAAGTCATCTGTTGTGTATCAATTACCTTCTTTGATAAAAGGAAATAAATAATGTTATTCTATTATTTTGTCATAAAGACAGATTTGTTTTGCATCTACTTCTAAATATGGTTTTAAGTTTAAGCAGACACACCTTTACATAATATCCACAGCACCTTTTAGAAATAAAGGATATTTCTAACTTAAAAGCTGCATAAAAAGATTCACTGGCATTCTATAGTGTCTATGGCTTATAAAGTATTCCATATCCATTTCGGGGCAAACAATTCAAATTCCATGAATAAACACACACTCATAGTCACTGTAACTATTTTTATTACATTACAATAATTAGGAGTAGTACAGTTCATGACAAAAATATTACAAATTTTAGATCACTTCACAGCACATACTCCTATAAACATTTAAAAGTTAATTTCAATTAAAAGAGTGGTCATTTTTAATGTTTGATATGACCAACATTCCTAGGTCAGCGCAACCAAATGATGGAAAACAACTGGATCACACTGCATATGTCCCACAAAAGAAAGCACAATGTACAAAATGTGCATGTTTCAGTTTACACTATACAAAAATAGTTAAAATACATTCCAGGTAAACATGTTACATTAAGAAATAGTACTAGTAAGAAATTGGCACTCAAAGGAAAAATGCAAAAAAGTATTTTCAACATGAAAACACAAGACAGTGGAATTGGAAACTTTCGGATAAAACACTGTAACCCAGTTAGCTCTATGTGGGTGTGGTGGGGAGAGATGGGCCCTCAACATTTCTGCAGATAACTTTTTTTCCCCTAAATTCATCTAAATTACCTATCATTATCCCAAACAGGCACTTCAAACTATTAAACTAAAACACAGATCTTAATCTAGTTATGACTATTCTTCAAGAACTCATGTATCTTTAGAAAGAAATTTTCATTTTCTGACAGACAGCTATCAGTTGTATGCTATTCAGTTTCTCAATGCAGAATTCATGCTATCCAGTATTAACACAGAAGTTATTAAATAACTGCTGGGTTCTTAAAAACATTACTACATAATTATCAAGAAATCATTACTTTTTGACAAAGATTTCTATCTAAAAAAAAATTCCCCGATGTTATATACTGTTTGAAGAAAAAAATGGTTAGAAGAAAAAAAAAAAATCAATGGAATACAAATGAGATGAACTTGTGCAAACTGTAACTTAACATGCCCCACAAAGTCTCCATGTATGTATTAGGACAAAATTGTGCAATGGAGGCAACAGTTTTGATAACCTATAAAAGTTAGGTTCTAAATTCCTATGCAGTGTGACTCAGTTAAATAGAGCCTAGAATGCCTATTTGGGAATATTCACTCAAATGATACAATATATGTGTGCTATATTCTTCCACAAACATGTTAATGCCTAAGACTATGTAATTTAGCTTTTTTTTTAAAAAAAAAAAAAAAAAAAAAAAAAAAACTTCAACAAGGATTTTTATCTTTAAGGCGGTATTAGATAACATTTATTTCTAGCATTCTCCCCCTTTAAAATCTCTACAAAAACAAATCTTTTGTTAAACCATTCAAAGTTCACATAAAGGTAATTACCACTACCTTAAAAAAATGCCCATCTACATCAAAAATTCAAGAGGCCTAAATATCCCCTCATAAGCACTGCAGTTCCTGAAGTATGGCCATTTCTTTCTGTGTAGAAACAAGAGGTACTGTGTAAGTCTTAACACCCTATCTAAACAATGTTCCAAAGATCTGGAGTTTAGCATAGCAATTCAAATCATACTGATTTTTACATAGAAGTTTCCTTGTCTGTGAACTAGTTCAGGCACCTGTTTGTTTGTACCCAGATAAAACTATTAATTTTTAAGTATATTTTAATTATGCAGAGAAAACTGGAATATTACACATTTGGGAATTTCAATATGGATATCTGACATACACCTTAATGTGTACAGTAACTGTCTCAATAGAATCACATAGTTATGCCAAATTAAAAAAAATATATAATCAAGTTTATTCCTTTAAACAATGAAGTGATTTACATAAAGTAGCTCGATCAAAGAGTTTCACTGGAATCATAGCAAAACAATTATAGAGCAGGCACAGGGACCAAACCCCTCTTTGCAAAACTAAAATACACACTGTGTTATCTCTGGGCCATAGGCTAAAAGCCTTACTCAGATACTACAGACCATGCTAGCACTAGCTAAGGACCAGGATTATGTCTCTTGTTTGGGGATACCATATACCCAGTGCCTTGTGAAATGACTGGCATCTGGTAGGCACTCAATAAATATTTGCTGAATAAATGAGTTCTGCAAAACGGCTTTATGAGGCTGAGGCGGGTGAATCACTTGAGGTCAGGAGTTCGAGACCAGCCTGGCCAATAGGGTGAAACCCTGTCTCTCCTAAAACTACAAAAATTAGTCAAGTGTGGTGGCACATGCCTGTAATCCCAGCTACTCAGGATGCCGAGGCACGAGAATCGCTTGAACCTGGGAGATGGAGGTTGCAGTGAGCCGAGATGGCACCATTGCATTCCAGCCTGGGTGACAGAGTGAGACTCTGACACCAAAAAAAAAAAAAAAAAAAGAAAAAAAAGCATTTCTGGTTACTAAAACAATGGAATGTATTACTGTTACCAGGAGTAGTCCTAGTTGTAGATTACCTTAGGAATTATTTCAGTACTATCTTTATTAAATTCTCCTTCCACTGGATAGGGTTCTGTCTATTCATACCAGGTCTGAAAAATCCTACTGTCGCTAATGGATTGGGCAGCAGAGATATTCAAAGGATCGGCCACCACCTGAAAATTAGTGATTAGGTCAAATCCCATTATGGTATCTGTCAGATTCTCGAGCCCTGAGGAAGGAAGATATAGGGCATTTTGATGTGACTTAATGGGAAAACTTCATGGAGATATCCATAGCAGCAGTAAATCTTATGGTTAGGGGAATTAGAAGTATTAAAACTGCATCAAGTCATGGGGCATGTGGAAGGTAGGCAGGCAAGATGACACTAACATGGAAGGAGAGTCCTAAAACGAGAATGGATATTCAAATATAAACTTCACCTCTTGCACAATTTTGCCCAAGATTGGCACTGAAGATGGTGTAACATAGGTTAAAAAGTTAGATTGTGCTGAGCTTGACAAATAAGTGTATCCTCATGTAAACGGAATATAAATCACATAGTTGTAAAAAAACTGAGAGTTTGAGATGACTTCTTTTAACATGAAGAAATGGATAGTAAGTGATGTCCTCAAAATCAGAGTCCTAAAAGACAACTATCTAGAACCTAAGTCACCTTCTTCCTAGTCCAGTGATACTTTCACCTCACCATGCCATCTCATTTCATATATTTTAAAATAAGTAACATTTTAAATTTATCAAAAGGATTTTTATTAATATTTATTTTTAAAGCATTATTCTTAAATATGGATCAGACTTGAAAAGTGTTTATGAAATGTTAATTTAACCAGTGTTAAGAGAACTAGCCAAACCTAGAGATTGTAAAACTTTTTCACTTTATTGTTTGAAAAAAAAATTAATGTCTTGGCATACCACCCCCCCAAAATCTCAACTTTTGAGTTAATATTTAAAAGTAATTTTTAAAAAAGAGTTCATTTTCTTAAAAAACAAAAGCAATGCTCTTGATTTGTCAGCAGGACCACCACAGAGTGAGAATGTATCTTGTTGACCTATCCAAACTGTCCTAGTCCCTCCCCATTTTGACCAGCCAATGCATGACAACACTGGATGACCACGGGGACACAGTCCATGCTGTGAAACTCTCTATGAAAGCTCAAAGGTTCACACAGGGCCTGGCCATGCAACCTTGGTCTCTTCAACACCTACTAAGCTATAACTGGCCCAAATAATCTTTAATGTCACAAGCAGAATTAAAACTACCTTCAAAGACTGAAGTTGAAGAAAAGATTTAAAGTTATACTATGAAAGAGCAATCTGACACAGGGAGACTACATTTAATTCCTATGAGAATTTTTTATACATGTTAAAATTATTTCAATTATTATAAAAATTTAGTAGCATGTAAATATAGCCCCAAAATGGTTGCTATAATCCCCATTTCATACTGGGTCTGCCTTAACAGGAAAAGCTATTAGGAGTCTTTATAGTAATTTATCTAATGTGAAAAGGAAACGGCCTTATAATAGTTTCCATTGACTTGTAATTTTTTTCCATTTTTTTCTTTTTATAGAAAAAATATAATATTTTGGGGAGAGTGACCATGACTAATAGCAGTGGAAAGGGAGACAAAACCTTTGTGAACAGTGTAACTTTACATTCATCAGGGATGACAAACTATAGGACATGATGCCTAGAAGAATCATCAGGAAGCCCATAAATTTGTGTTCCCTCAATGTTTCAGTAAAACCAATTAGAAAGTCTCAACTGAAATTATAATTAGTAATTAATCCATTTATGTGACGAGATAAAACACAGAATAGGGATGATTCAGAAGCTTCATTAATTTGTTTCACACCAACATTCACAATTGGTAAGAAAAATAAGAAGTAATCAACTGCATGCACCAAAAACCCCAAGACAGAAATCTTAGGTATTCAGTTTCTTTTTCACAGGCATTGCTAGTTCAAAAATCAAAACTCTGGGAATACTGGCACTTAGAGGAAAAAAAAGCTTCCACTGTCATTTTAAAATAAGCATTTAAGGTAAAAGCTAACAGTCTGCATGGAGCAGGAAAAAAATTAGGTAATGCTAAAACAAATGCTAATAATTTAGTGTAATGTACAAAAATTACCACTTTTACTAGTATGCCTTAAGAAAAAAGTACAAATTGTATTTACATAATTACACACTTTGTCTTTGACTTCTTTTTCTTCTTTTTACCATCTTTGCTCATCTTTTCTTTATGTTTTCGAATTTCTCGAACTAATGTATAGAAGGCATCATCAACACCCTGAAATACATAAAAAGTATTAAAATGTGAATATATACGATGGCTTCATGTGTATAGGTAACAAATTTCCATTATTAATGGAAACAATATTAAGAAAGGATTTTTTATGTTTCTCTTCAGGCAACTGAATATATATTACA